GAATCTATTCAGTTCATTTTAAGGATGAATCTATTTATATTTAACAGGACAGGGTGTGTTTGAGCTGGGAAAATCTTTAGTGTTCTGAGTATCTGTTGACAACCGTTCCAGAACCTGGACGGAATTCTAAGCATGCAAGACCCTGAGGCCACTTACCTCCCCACTCTTGTCTTTCCTTAGCATCTTACCCTTAGGCACCAAAAAATGCTCTCACTGCTCTCCACATTTCCCTCTTTCCACATGCTCTTCCTGATGCCTGGGTACTTCCCTATCCCAGAATTCCTCCAATCTGGCCTAAAAGCCCTTCTCTGAAATGTTAACTCACTCCTCCATGCTCACTGTTTTGTTTTTATCTGTCATTACATAGAGTGCTGAACTTGTGTTCACTTACCTATCAAAACACAAAACCCTAAAGAGAAGAGTGTGTCTAACAGGCACTCTCAGCATGTGTCAGATATTGGAATGCTGGTTTTAGAAATGGAGAAGTCAACAAAAGATATCTTGGCAAAACAATGTCAGAGAACCTCCCTGAACAGAACAGAAATGTCTGTAGTCCTATAATGAAAGATGGTATAGTAAGCAGGAGTGTGGGCTTTGTAGCTAGGCTACCTGAGTTCAAGTCCTGGCTCTACCATTAGCAGTGAAACATGGGGTTTTTTAACATCAGTTTTCTCAGTTACCGTATTCCTAGAACCTGGGTAATAGAGGTGCTCTCCTCAACAGAGGGCCACTGTAAAGCACACATCGGTTCTTAAATGGGAAATGCCTGGAGGAGTGCCTGGCGCAGAGCAAGTACTCAACGAATGTTAGCTAGTGTTATTTCACAGTGCAAAAGGTGCAAAGTTCTCAAAAAAATCATTAACCAAATTGGAATAAATGGCAGGGGCCTGTGAAAGACAGAAAATAAGGCAGGAAATTAGGCATTAAATATGGAAATATTGATGAAACAAACAATTTTCTAGGATGACTATTTTAAATGAAGCTATGCTTAAGTTCAGTTGTGCCTGATAAAAACAAAATTGAAGGGACCAGCAGTTAGCATAATGGCTATGTAGCTGGACTCCCATGTAGTCGACCGCAGTTCGAGTCCTGGTCCTGTTGGCTTAAACTCACGCCGGACGCATGTGCATGCGTGCCCAAGATCCCGAGAGAATGGAGGAGAAGGGATTGTGGCATGGCCATCCCCCCTGGGGGGGTGTGTGTGTGATTTCTCGCTTTCTGTCTCTTTCTGGCAAGCGCACGCGCCCTATAGCGTAAAAAAACAAAAACTCTCAAAAAAAAAAAAAAAAGGATAAAGATAGCTGTAATATCAGGTGAGTCATACAAAGTTGTCTTTATAGGAGCGGGCGGGTAGCATGGGTGAAGGCACCGGACTCCCACGAGGCCAACTGTAGTTAGAGTCCTGCACCTGCAGCTTGCTTTCTCATGTTCCTATTCTCTGTTTCTCTGGTCAAATTTAAAAAGTACTAAAATAAATAATTCTTAAAATTGTCTTCATAGACAGAAGACATAGGAGCATTTCATAAGGTTCACCCTAACACTTCCTAGTTACACCCTGCTTACAGGTGAAGGGAAGCTCTCTATGCTTTAATACAAGGCACAGGTGGTGACGCAGCATGTCCCATACAGAAAAGGTCCTGGGTTTGTATCTGAAACCTCCCTGAGCACACCGAGCATTTGTGTGTGATCCAGGCCAATGGAGTCAGAGAGATGGACTGAGGTGCGATGACTGTTGAGGACACCCCTATTCTGTCTCTCATGGAAGAGGTACATAAATATGAAAAATGAAAAACTACCAGATTGATACAAGAAAGCAAATGAGCTCTTCTGTCCAACAGAAAGAATAAGGGCATTGTCTTCAGAGCACCTTTGGAAGACACCTAATTCAATCTCATAGAGCTATCACACAAAAACTGAGTTAAATGTTTAGAAGAGAATCTTTATTTTTTTCAAGTTTTTTGCTATAGGGTATGTGTGCTTGCCAAAAGTTGGGGGAAAAAGCCAACTGGAATTGTGCAGCCAGCCATGTGAGATCTAGTGCCTTAACCACCATGCCACCTGTTTGTACCAGGAGAGACCTTAAGATAAATATTTTGAAGAAATAATAAGGAATGTTTGTAATATTTTAATGAATATTTTTTTGGGTGAAAAACCTCAACTTCCTCTCTTCCACTTGTATCAAATTATAATACCTATAGATATGTCTATGATCTCTGGCTAAAAAAATCCAAATAAAACCAAAAGGAAAACATAACCCAACTTATAGCCTTGTTCCTCTGAATCCAGGCCTACAATAAACATATTACATTTATTCTACTTTGCACTTTACTAAATAAATGTATTCTGTACCCATCTAAAATACATTTCATGCAAAGGAGCACGAATAATTTACTGATACTCTTTAATTTAAAAACAAAAAAGGAAGGAATTACTTATTTTTAAAAAAAGATGATTTATTTTTAATTTTATTTATCCATTCATTTATTTTAATTTGACCAGAGAGAGATACACAGAGAAAGAGAGACAAAGCAAGCTACTAGGTCCGGGACTCAAACCGTGGTCAACCATGTGGGAGTGTCTAGCACCTTAACCACCACGCCACCTGCTGGTCCCAGGAATTATTAATTTTTAAATAAGCTTTGAACAACTATACTTAACTGACAAAGATGATCTGTTAGGAATCTTAAGGGGATAGAGCTGTTAAGATGATACCCCCACATTTGGGACCAGCAGATGATGTAATGGTTATGTCACTGGACTCCCATGTCAACCAAGGTTTGAGTCCCGGACCCGGTGGCTTAAAACTCATGCACACTAGGCACATGTGCAAGCGTGCCCAAGATCCCAAGAGGAGAATGGAGGAGAAGGGATTGCGGTGTGGCCATCCCCCCTGGGGGGTGATTTCTCACTTTCTATCTGTCTCTCTCCATCTTTCTGGTGAGCGCATGCGCCCTATAGAAAAAAAACCTCTCCAAAAAACCAAAAAACAAAAAACTCATGCTGGGTGCATGTGTGTGCATGCTCACAGTCCCAAGAGTTGAATGGAGAAGAAATTGCGGCATGGCCAATCTCCTCTGAGAGGTGATTTCTCGCTTTCTGTCTCTGTCTCTGACTCTCCAGTGTGTGCACATGGTCTATAGCAAAAATAATCTCCTAAAAAAAAAAAAAAGAAAGAAAAAGATACCCCCCACTTAATAAAACCAATCTAATACATTTAATCACTAGAAAATGCTTCAAGACAAAATTACTAGTTCAATTAAGAATCATATAGCTTTTGTCATAGACTGTTAGTACAACTCATGTCTGTATCAAGTTATGTGGTACAGATTCCTTTCTCTAGTTACTCACAAAAAAGGTTAGAAAGTTTTCCTCAGAACAGAGCAGGTCGGTGCTGTTTCAAATCAAGGCTGGGAGTCAGCCTAGAAGAGGGTGCCTCCAAGGCCCAGTGCCCCCGCAGTCCTCGAAGTTCAGTTAACTGCTACTGTTAATGACTAATCCCTTAAATTGTACTCAGTAAACAGACACATGACTGCGAATGTACCTATGAATTAATAGAACATCATTGCAGAGGAAAGCAACTAAAGTCTAACAACACCTTGGCAGAATCCTGGTGCTATTTACAGAAAACAGAAAAACTGCCTCATTCTAACTAATACATAAAAATAATATTTTAATAAAGTATTAGTCCTGCCTCTGTGTTTTGTCTAAAATGCTACGCATATGACTCAGAATGAAAGAAAATTAGGATACAAGAATTAATGAATACACCTAAAAAAGACCCGAAGTATATGTAGGACTGCTTCCTATAATCCTATCATATTATAGGAAGCAGTCCTACATGGATAATTTTAGAATGTAAAAATACACTAAATACTATAATGGAAATATAGGGATTTGTTTATTACTTTTTGGTTTACAAACAAAGGCACCCAATAATGCTTCTATTTATTTCTTATAAAAAATTATCGATTTACATTTAAAACAAACAAGCAAACAAACAAACAAAAAACCCCCACAAAACAAAAAGCCCCAAATTGGTTCCTGCAGACAAACACAAAAAGGGGAGAAATTATGTTTTTTTACTCCCTGCTTCCAAGCTTTACTACACAGATTCAAAGAATGTTTGTTTATTTAATGCCATCCGTAAGTCAAAGAAATGTGGTATTGTCATGCTTCTCTGCATTGAGTTTTAGGACATATAAATGTTGCCAAGTCAAATCTAAATATAGTCACAATGACATAATTTACATATGCCAGAGTTAAGAGTGAATGCGGAGGAGAACCCAATTGTTTTACAATACAGCTTTATCAAATGAGTTAAGTGAAATATTAAGTATATTTAATGGACTATGCTGTTAAATACTGAGCTTGTGTAAAAATATATAATCAAATATAACTAAAAACCATACCTCGCAAATTTTAAACGATTTTTAAAATCTAAGTTTGACTTAAACTCAGTCTCATTGGTGGGCATTATCAATCTATATATTGGGTCATCAAAAAAGTCATGAAACATTTTTGCATAGAAAAACAGAAAAAATATATCATGACTTTTCTGGCAACCCAATATATATACACTCTTTATGCTGACTTCTAAAATGTCAAACTTACCAAATTTATTCATTAGCTTTCTTTTGACAACACAGTACTAAACAGACACACGAAATTAATGCAGTGGCCTCAGTACCCTCCCAGTTAGCATTTTGATTTTAAGGTTAGCTTACAAGAACAATAAAACAATTCAGAAGATATACACTCCCTATGCACTTCATTGGCCTGCCCGAGTTACACTGGAATTCTTAAGAGAGACAAAAAGACGATACATCTCATTCTAGGTATATTCAACAAAAGTATAAAAATCGTACAAAGGTTAGTATGTTTCAACACATTATGGAACTATGATTGGAGAGATGGAGTGTATATTGCATGGGCCACTTTAAATCAAAGGCATTATCATTTATTCCGTTTTCAGATACTGTCATGGTCTCTCACACCTTATATAAGATATGGTCCTAGACCTGAGATTTTATTATCATCCCAAAGAAAATACAGGTATTTATATACATATTTATTTTAAAATAATGTTTAAAAGTTTTACTACAGAAGATCTGGCTTCAACATGGAAGCATTTTCCTTTTCAAGATAATACACCTGCATGGAAGAAGGTAATTTCCTTTACATTTAGGTTTTTCACAATAGCAAAATAAAGTTCTTATATATTGCATTTAAACTGACAAAGAAAATTAACATGTAAAGTTCCATGTAATTTTTTTTGTATTGTGAACTGACCTCTTTAAACGTACTCAAGATACATTGCTAATAATTTAAATATAGTACAAATTGATCAGCTTAATTAGAACAGTGTTATGCTGAACAATCTGTTAAACCAAACGTGTTAAAACAGTAAGTAGAATTAACTACTAATATGATTTAAGGGAATTATAATGTATCATTAAAATATACATCAATTTTCTTGTTATTACTTATTTCTATAATGTTTCTCTTTCTAAAGGTAAAACCACATGCAGAAAAAAATAAATGGTATCTTCAAACTCATTCAACAGTTTGCTACTTTACGTGGTACGTAAATAAAGTCCTTTATTTAATTGTATACACATTATTTATGCATTATTTTATTTTTCTTAAAGAAATTCAGTTTTCAAGGTCAAAATTAGTATGTGTTTACACACATGAAGACATTTTCTTAATGTTATTACTACCTACAAATACATTCTTCCGTAATAATGCACTTTCAGTTGTCACTGGAAAGACAGTACAAGCCTTTTAAAAGTCCTATGAATAAAATGTATAAAGGGAGGAGAGCATAAGTATGGTGAATCCCTCCCACTCCCAGCTCCAACAGAGTCTCAAGAAATCCTCCTGTTTGAAAACATGAACAGAATTTCACAGGATTTTTATTTGTTCAAACTGTGGACAAGAAACATGGATTCCTATTCTTTTTGATACTAACCACTTTACTGAATTTGTTTTCACCTTCTTTCAAAAAGACGTAGCATGTATTGATATGATAAACCCAGTAGGGTCTTTAAAATATGTAGCCTTCTGATTATGAAAGTAACTGATTGCTTATAGAAAAATGATATGCTCCAGACATTTAATCAGAAAAAGAAAAATGAGAACATGTCTTTCATGTTTGATATCACTCAATAATTTACAGAATGATGTGAAAATGGTTTGGCTATAATTTCAATAAAACTAAAAAACCACTTCAACTGATGCAAAAAATTAAACATTGAAGAATCAAGCATCTACCACCTTAGCTAGTATCCCTGTCCAAATGCTTTCCATTGTACTGAATATTAGAATTAGAAATTCACTACATGTTAAGGCATATTTTAATTAATATGTTCCAGAATTGCACAGTTATACTGGTCAGTGTTCCTATTTCTTCACTCCTACCCTCCAGGGATCAAAAATGTTAAGTCAGGGTTTTGGTGGTTACTGTAGATTTGAGCTGGCGTACCACAGTGTGTTCACTAGGTTTTTTATGAGCACAAACACTAAAATGTTACATAAAGTGTACCATACTTTACTCCACACTCTGATCTAAGATGGTTTAATGTCTTGACAAAAGGTGAGATGACTTAAGTACATTTACATTTTGTGCATTTAGATCACCATATGCATAGATGTTCTAATGCTAAATTCCTGGTCTTCAGTATCTCATGGTGCTGGATGCTCGGAAGTAGGACAGAAACTTGTAACACAGACTAACCACAAAGTACCAGATGTTTCTTGCCATTTGTGATCTTGCAATAAAAATGCGCCAGATCAGGATCACAAGGATAGTATTGAAACCGTAACGTATGTTCCGCAGTCTGGAAGGCAAATCAAGAGACAGGTTAGACACTATTTTCTAGAATAAAATATTGTTGATGGGAGCTAACTAATGCTGTTCCTAATCTAATCAAAGTTCAAATCAGGACCAGCAGTTAGCGTAATGGCTATGTCGCTGGACTCCCATGTAGTTGATCATGGTTCACGTCCCGGACCCGGTGGCTTAAAACTCACGCTGGGCGCGTGTGCGTGCGTGCCCAAGATCCTGAGAGGAGAACAGAGGAGAAGGGATTGCGGCATGGCCATCCCCCCTGGGGGGTGATTTCTCGCTTTCTGTCTCTCTGTCTCTGTCTGTCTGGAGAGTACATGCGCCCTGTAGCAAAAACCTCTCAAATAAAAACAAAAAAAGTTCAAATCCATTTTAATTTGAAACAGCTCTTAAAGGACAACCTTCCCCACTGGCAAAGAGGAATGTGACGTGCTAGTCTGCTCATGTTTCAAAACATTCCACTAACTTCAGCAAACAGGGCAAGACAGAGCTTCAATATAAGAACAACAGCATAGAGAAAGTAGCTTTAAGTAACGGGCCAAAAGGGAACCAGCAGTTAGTGTAATGGCTATGTCGCTGGACTCCCACGTAGTTGACTGCGGTTCGCATCCTGGACCTGGTGGCTTAAAACTCACGCCGGGTGTGTGTGCATGCGTGCCCAAGATCCCAAGAGGAGAATGGAGAAGGGATTGCGGTGTGACCATCCCCCCTGGGGGGTGATTTCTCGCTTTCTGTCTCTATGTCTCTGTCTGTCTGGCGAGCCCATGTGCCCTATAGCGAAAAAAAAAAAAAACACCTCACCAAAAAAATAAAATAAAATAAAAAGTAACAGGCCAAAAGATGAACATTCTAGTGTGCTTGGTCACTTAATACAATACAACCCAGGCAAATACAACTTCCTTAAGCCTTGACTTCCTCATCTATATAAATGGCTACCCAGCAAACCCTCACAGAATTAGTGAGGTACAAGAAGGACAATAACATGAAGGCCCTGAGAACTATTATAGAAGTCATATGTTAAAAAAATACTCCAAATAAAAGAGATGACAATGTAGGTAAGAGATTACCTACACTTCTGATGGGACCAGCAGTTAGCGTAATGGCTATGTCGCTGGACTCCCACGTAGTCAACCGCGGTTTGAGTCCCTATAGCAAAAACCTCTCAAAAAAAAAAAAAAAAGAGATTACCTACACTTCTGAATAATGGGTTAGCAGTGATTTTTCTGAATTTTCCTTTTTAAAAAAATCTGTATGTACTATGTTTATAAAGAGACTAAGAAAATTATTACTCTGTTTTAGAAATAATGATTAAATTCTACATTGAATGGGTTGTTGGGAAAGTCATGACACAGTTTTGCATTAAAAAAAAAACAAAACAGAAAAAATACTCATGACTTTTCTGACAACCTAATATATTGTGGTATCTCTTCTCTTCCAAAGATAATCAGAGTAAGATAAAAAATTTTTAATTACTTAAAATTAAGTCTCCTCCAATTTAAAATATACTGTATTTTCTCCTAATATCTTTACTTCTTCACCAGCAATTTAAGGGACTATTATTATATATTATTACTATTTGATATAATATTATTGTTAAAATTTAATTCCAGTTGATCTTCGTGCTAAGAAATAAGTAAGTTGGGGCCAGCAGGTGCATGGTGGTTAAGGCACTGTACTACCACACGGTCAACCACAGTTCGAGCCACAGACCTGGTGGCTTACTTTCTCACCTTTTCTCTCTCTCTGGTAAGCACAAGTACCCTAGAGAAAATTTAAGTAATAATAATAAAGTAAAATTAAATACTGGGTTGTCAGGAAACTCATGACACATTTCTGCATAGAAAAATATAGAAAGTAAGTCATGAGTTTCCTAACAACCTAATAAATAATTCCAAAAAATTAAAAAAAAAATGTGAGTTGATGAGATACAACAATCTCAGGCCAAATCAGTACTATCATAGTTCCACTTCATAGGTATGCACTTTTCCTAAATATAATAGACTATTACTATATTTATGCAATATACCAGTTTATACAAAAGTTGTGTAATATTTCATATGAAACAAAAGATGCAATCACACTCCTGTAACACTTACTTGTTCAGATGCTTTCTAGCTGCAGGGAGGCCAGACATTTCTTCATTCAATACATATTTCTTAGTTCCCATGCAGTAGTTCTCTATGTATTCTGCCCAATGTAATTGCCGCACATCAATATTGAAGGTCTGCATTAACAAAAACATTATCCATTACTTTTCTGAGTAATTTTTTCTCAAAGAGCTAAAAATTCATGCTTTTTCTAAAAGCCAATTCCAAATGACATGACTACAAATGTTTAAATATAGTATTAATTTTTAAAATCTTATTAATGATCAGAAAAAAAATTCTCATTCCTATCATATACTTTCTACTAAACACAGAAACTTTTTAAAAGATTTTTGCTGCAGAGCACATGTGCTCGCCAGAGAGAGAGACAGACAGAGAGACAGAAAGTAGTGGGGGGGGTAGAGTGTGTAGCCACGCCACAATCCCTTTTCCACCATTCTCCTCTTGGGATTTTGGGCATGCACACACATGCACCCAGTGTGAGTTTTAAGCTACTGGGTCCAGGGCTCAAACTGTAGTTGACCTGATGTAGCCATCATGCCATCTGCTGGTTCCAACACAGAAATTTTTGAGAAGATCATCTGGGAACTCATACCAGCCTTTAAAGACGAAAATATTAAATGTAAGGAGATAGAACCTGTACCATTTTATTTTTAATGACAAAACACTCCTGTCTAAATAGTCCTGTGTATGTGTCACTACTTTATGCGTGTACTGATACATCAATTTCCAGTTCCTTCTAGGTGAAGTCTCTCTTCCTTTCTTGTATATCCTGCAGAGCATACAAATTAATTTTCGTAGAGAATACGTTGACATCAAAAGAAAGATCATGCCGGGGCAGGCAGGTAGAGTGGTGGTAAAGGCACTGGACTTCTACCTGGCTGGCCAAAGTTTAAGTTCCAGACCTGGTGGCTTGAAAAATCACACAGGGCATGTGTGTATGTGTGTCCAAGAATCCCAGGAGGAGAACTGGAGAAGGGACAACAGCATGCACCTCCCCTCCCAGGGGTGATTTCTCACTTTCCATCTCATGTGTCCCTGTCTCTCTCCAATGAGTGAACATATCCTATGACAAAAACATTAAAAAAATAAATAAATAAATAAATAAAAAACATTAAAAAAAAAAAAAGGAAGAAAGAAAGAAAGGACACATTGTGAAAACTGACTTAGGAGTTTAGATAACAGTTCCGAGACCATTTGATGAAAATGGTAGATAAATCCAGAAAACAAGGTTTTACAGAATGCTACGTCAAGAGGGCTATGCATTGTTCAAAGTTTCTCGGCACACAATCATTTTCTGGAGTGTCAAAGGGATTATTTACTATCACTTAGAAAAAAAAATCCTACTCAAATCACTAGAACATAAAAACACAGTAACAGTATATGGAGTCTTGACTTAACATACAGATATTTAAAGTATACATATGTGTAAATGGAGTCCCATGGAAGAGTGAAAATAAATGGAACAGAAGCAGGATATGCAAAAATAAGGCCTAGAAATTTTCCAAAAATTGGAGACATCAAGCAAGTCATACACATATCTAGGCATATGAGAGAAAGACAGAAAAAAACCATATGAATTCTCTCCAAAATACTAGACTGTCATCCAACTTCTCAATAGAAACAACTGAAGCTTAGACTGAGAGATCATTTCCAAGTGCTCAAAGAAAATAACTGCTAACAAAATATTCTACACCACTGTAAACACCTTTGAAAAACAATGGTAAAATAAAGATGTTCCCAGAACAATAAAAACGGAGACAATCTGACAATAAGAGACAACCTACTCCAGAGGAGGCACACTAAGGGTATCCTTTGCACAGAAAGAGAATGAGTACAGACTGAAGTCTGGAGATAGAGGAAGAAAGGAAAAGCCATTGCAATCACGTGAATGCTTACTGCATAGACTGTGCTACGGTAGGAATGAGTCCCCCAAAAAGCTCATGTTGGAAACTTAATCCTCAACGCAACAATTGGGAGATAAGCCCTAACGTGCGGTGTCTAGGTTGTGAGGGCTCCGCCTCATGAGTGGATGAATGCCAATTGTAATAGGGCTTGAGGCTGTAAGTTCAATTTCTTGTTCTCTCTTGCCCTCTCTTTGCCCTTCTTTCATAGAATGATGCAGAGAAAAGGCCCTCACCAGATGCCAGTTCCTCAATTTTAAACTTCCCAGCCCTCAAAACCACAAGCCAATAAATTTCTGTTCATTATAAGTTACTGACTCAGATATTTTGTTACAGCAACATAAAATGGACTAATATACATCACAATAAAAATGGCCCATGATATTTTTTTTAACTTTTTTTGGAGAGGATTTTGCTATAGGGCATACGTGCTCACCAGAAAAACAGAGAGAGAGAAAGTGAGAAATCACCACCACCACCCCCTGCCCCGAGGGGATGGCCACACCTCAACCCCTTCTCCTCCATTCTCCTCTCGGGATCTTGGGCATGCACGCACATGAACCTGATATGACTTTAAGCCACTGAGTCTAGGACTCAAACCACGGTCGACTACATGGGAGTCCAGCGACATAGCCATTACGCCAACTGCTGGTCCCAGTCCATGACATTTTAAATATGAATAAAACATGTAACAACACAGCAGACATGTGGTGGTCCTTTATTATCCATGAAAAGCAGAAGTATCAATTTATATTAGATCTTGCTAAATTAAGGAAAAGAGATTGTAACCTCTATAGTAACCACTATCATTACTGAAAAGAATATATTTCTATGTAACCAATATAAAAAGGAAAACATGAGACCAACAGGTGGCGTGGTGGTTAAAGCGCTGGACAGTCCCACATGACTGACCACGGTTTGAGTCTCGAACTTGGTGGCTTGCTTTCTCACGTTCCCTTTCTCTCTGTGTCTCTCTCTGGTCAAATTAAAATAAATAAATGAATAAAGAATTAAATAAAATAAATCTAAATATGTACATATATATATAAATGGGAAAACGAATTATAAAAATAACCTAGGCAAAAAAGAAAAGGAAAAAGGCCTTCAGACAAGTATAACAAGCACAAAACATTAAGAATTAGGTTTAAAGACAAAATAATCAGGATTTATGTTATGGACTAAGTACTCCAAATAAGGGTCAAAAATTGTCAGACTAAAAACAAAACTACAAAAAAACCTATATACTCATTACAAGAGAGATAGTTAAAAGATAAGGATACTGAATGGTTATCAATAAAGGCTGGAGAAAAACACACCATACATGTCTTCTAGCAATGTAGGAATGTATTTATTTGCCCAGGACGCCTCCACAGTATATTGGCCAATCTGGGAAGTCGTAAATAACATGCCAGTCTAGTTCTAACTTACATTTACATTATTATAAATGAGCCTGAGTGTCTTTCTGAATGATTAAGAATCATTTTTTAGAAACTGTTCATCTCTCTATCCCGTTTTTCAATAGTATTATTGATTTTCTTCACCCCTCTTTCCATGTATTTTATATAGTAGGAAGTGCACATTGAAATCATATTGAGCTACAACTACACAAAAAATGGCTAAAATGAAAAATTAAGATGCCAAGTGTTCCAGATAATGTGGAATAATAAGAAGTCTCATACATTACCACATGGAATGTAAATTTATACAACCACTTTGGAAAACTGGCATTATTTACTAAATTGAACATATGAACACCGTAAGACTCAGCTAATCTACTTTTAGGTATAGAAATATCTAGAATATATACATGGTCTATGCAAATGTGTGTATATGGGCATGAAGAATGTTCAGAGGAGAACTTTATCTAATAGCCAAAAACTAGAAATAAATGTAGAAGAATAAAAAAAATATCATTCATATAAAGTCAAAAATGGGTACAACTAACATTCGGTGTTAGAATTTGAGATACTGTTACCTTTGGAAGAAGAGGTAATGATTGCGAAAGGGCATGAGGGGGATTCTAGGGGATAATAAAACACTAGTTCTTTACCTGGATGCTCATTCTCTAGTAACCTACTGAGCACTGTCATACATGGACAGTGGGAAAGAGGAAAGCAAGGAATCAGCAAAAACCACAAATCCCTTCTGAGAATATCTGCAGGATCCAGGTGACTCAGACCTGCCACTTTGAAGGCTACAATAGGGAGAAAAACTGGCTATAAAGTGTCTGCCTTGTTAGTCTTACAGCCCGTGGAAAAGATAAAAACCCCAAAAGCCGTCTATACCTTCAGAGCAAGGATGAAAAAGTAAACTCTTCATACACACAAAGCAGGCAAACAGCCCACGTGAGGACTTCTGTCATGCAGAACCAGAAGAACAGACTAGATCTGTACTATCCCACGGCAGCTACACGCCACACGTACCCTACCCTCTGGGCACCTGAAGTGTGTAGCTAGTCCGAACTGAGTTACGCTAGAATATAAAATGCACATCAGGATTTTCAAGGGCCCATGAAAAATACAAATAGAAAATAAGACAGTCTTTCAATAATTTTTAAATTTTGATGTTTAAATGCTATTTTGTATGCTGGCTTAAATTAAAAATACAATTATAATTTTTAAAAAGTGGAAAAAATAAAAGAAGCTGGTACTGGGAAGATGAAAAAAAAAATTACCTTTGAGAAACTATTGGCTCATCAGGAGAGTCACGATGCATTTTTGCACAGAAAACCAGAAAAACACGTCGTGACTTTCCCAACGACCTAATACAAGTATGAACCAGTCCCACAATCTAAGGCCTGTATTCACCTGAATTCTGCTAAAAATCTAATCAGATATTTTAAAGTGGTCCTAACTTGTTAATACCACATGGCTCATTAGTGCTAATGGCTACCAAGTTATCAGTAGAAACAAAGGCAAATCTTTATTGGAAAACTGCAATTTCAATCTAGGCCTCAAAATATTCCCACGAAAATCGTCAAAAAATATGAATTTATAAGCAAGAAAGTAACAATAAAAATAAAATGCTATGAGTAAAACCCATAGCAAAATAAAATAAGCAAATCCTTTAGACGTTTGAATGATCAGAAACAAAATTTAAAACAATTATCTATAGCATGTTTCAAGAAGAAAAATTCTAGAAACTGTTTAAGAAATATCTTTAATAGTTGAAAAATAAGCTGAACTTCTTAAAAATGAAAATATAAGAACTGAAACCTAGGGCCGGCAGGTTGCATGGTGGTTAGGGGGTGCTGGACTCCCCACATGGCTGACTGCAGTTCGAGTCCCAGACCTGGCAGCTTGCTTTCTCACTTTCCCTCTTTCTCTCGTTCACTCTGACCCTCTCTGGTCAAATTAAAATACATAAGTAAACAAATAAAGTTAAATAAAATAATTAAAAGAAAAAGAAACCTAAAATTCAATTGGATGGTTTAGACATAGTTGACAAGTTACCACAGAATTTAAATAACCAGATTTCAAGCCAGAAACAGACACAAAATATGAAATTAATTAAGATTAAAGACCGAGAGAAGTTTATATGAGAGATTATTAATATATAGGCAATGGCTTTCTCAGTTAATTTCTCAGGTAATAGTTATAGAAACTATCTAATTATTCTTCAGGTTGCTAATGGTTCTCTGGTGTGCTACTTAATTTCTAATATAAAACAGAAAACACTTGCCTTTTTATCTTCAGGGTTTAGTTGATTCATTAACATATTGACATTGTCAGTATTCCAAACCCAAGAATTACTTGTGAAATATTCAAGAAACACCATAGCTTTGTGAAGACGAGTTATTGTTTTCATCATCCTGTATTATAAGAAAAATGGCCAGATTCATATTTTGCAGATTGAAAAAAATCCCATCACCACCCAGGGTACCAGTTTTCCCCAACACAGACAGTAACATTAAAATTATAATATAATTCAATAATATACCAAAACAGCAGAAAATAAGAATATTTCTGTATTTTGGAAGAACATTTCACAAATCTAAAATGATAAAAAAAATTTGGAAGCAGTTAATGATTTTAATATTGCCTAAATAGATTGCTGCTGATACATGGAATTAATTCTCAAAGCTTATACTAAGCAAGTAAGTGGATTTAATTAATATTCTCTTGCTTTTTATTCCTTAAACTATATTTGGTTCAGCAACATTTACTAAGATGTCCTATAAATTCATATACTGTGTTATATTATAATTTCAATTCTCCTGCATCACTGAAGCAAATAATACAGAAATATTCATTTGCCCTTCAGTCAACTCTATTTAAAAACAAACAAACAAACAAAAAAAAAACAACAACCAACTTTCTCTTTAATACTGATTGGCAACACTCTTGATGGTCCGGATGTGCTATAAAATCAATGACTCACGTGGTAAAAACTTTCTGAAACAGATACTCGACTGCCCATATCCCAACAATAGCCATCCTTACAGAAATAAGGAAGAGTGACACGGTTTTCTTTTTCAATAGAAAAATGGCATTAATTTTTTCTTTTAATATGTTATTTTCATATCATAGCTCAATGTAAGTCATTGATATTATAACACTAATTTGAGCAGTTATAGCTATACAATAAGAATTACTGATGATAATCAGAAAAAGGGAACAAAGAACCTTTTAAAACAAAACACTCAACAAAAATTCTAACTTCTAGAAACAGAAAAATAATTTGTGGAGAAATACTTTAGAAGAATCCTACTTATATTCCCACAATAAAGATTAGCAGTGTATGTACTTTAGAAAGTCTCCAAATTAGGAACTTTAGAAATGGGGAAATTTTAGAACATTAGCAGTAGCAGGAAGGGGAATCTAAGCAATTCTGGTAACATATTCCATACATTCAGAAAGAAACCCTGCATCCAGAATACTGGAAGAAAATAAGGCAATATGGACTATGCAAAGAAAAACTGTAGTTCATCCGAAGTAATTCCAAACTGAATTCCTTCACTAAACACACACACACAAACGCACACATAAATGATCAGGGGCTACATCTGAATGGGAATAGTTTATATAGATAGAAAGCATTTGGAGGAAAAAAATACACAACAGATGTGTAACTAAATCAATACATACTATCAGCCAGAAAATTATGCTCGAATCTCATCTTACACACACACACACACACACACACACACACACACGGTTTAACATTATCAATAATTTTCCAACATTTATCATATTAAGAAGTTTTTCTACCTAACTCCTTTTCCACCACCAATTCACACCTAATCTTCAGATTTAGTCAAGTGGCAGAATTACCCTAAAATCAATGCCTGACGCAAGCATTCAAAACATTATTGCAATAAAAAAACTGGAGGGAAGACAAAAGAAATTTGAACAGCTATATATGAGGTGACTTCAAAATGCTCATGGAAAACCAGGAAGGATTAAAAGATAAAAATAGGGTCAGATGGTGGCAGAGTGGTAAAATATGACACTCTGCAAGGCTGAACTCCATGGGAAGGTTGCAGGTTCACGTCCAGAGATGTCCCTGAGTACATCTGGGCATACAAGTGCCCATGATGACTGAGGTTGAGTAGATTATGAACAGGCACTGAGATTCAATTAAGCATACTACTCCTGTATCTCTGCGGCTCATGGAAGAAATAAATAAACTAACTTTAAAATGAAAAGGTTAAAAATAAAAAAGATATATAAACTCCATTTCTCAACATAAGCTCCATCAAGTTCGAGACACTTACAGAAGAGATGACACCAGCCATTTAGTCCCTAGAGAACCGAGGGTCCTGGGAATTTAATAATGTCAATTTACATTATTAACTGGAGAAAAACAGGTATCCTTTAAAGGCCATTTTAAGACTAGGGGGAAAAAAGCAGTCATAAGGAGCCAAATCAAACTGCAGAGTGAATGTCTAATAATTTCTCATACACTGTCTTACAAAATGCCCATGTTTGATGAGAAAAATGAGCAGGAGTACTGTCATGGTGGAAAAGGACTCTCTGATAAAGCTTTTAGACATTTCTCTGCTAGAATTTCAGTTCACTTTCTTGACACATTCTCACAGTAAGCAGATGTCTTTATTCTTTGGTCCTCCAGAAAATCAACAAGCAAAATGCCTTAAGCATCCCAAAAAACTGTTGCCATGACCTTTGCTATGACTGGTCAGCTTTTGCTTTGACTGGACCACCTCTTGGAGCCACTGCTTTGATTGTGCTGTCTTCAAGACTGTACGTAAAGCCCATGTGTCATCTCCAGCTAAAGTTCTTCATAAAGTCCCTCAGGATCTTGATCTCACTTACTTATAATTTCCATGAAAAGGTCTGCTCTTGTCTGTAACTGACATAGGCCTGACTGTCTTGGCATCCATCAAGCAGAAAAATTGTTCATTTTAATTTTTCATTCAGAATTGTGTAAGGTGAAACAACTGAGATGGTTCTGGTGTTTGCTACTGTTTCTGATGTTAATCTGTGATTCTTTTCAAGTAGGGCACAAACTAATTTTTTCCTTGCCAATTGATGAGGATGGTCTGCCGCTGTGGGCATCGTCTTCAACATCGTGTTGTTCTCTCTTAAAACAAGTAATCTATGCGTAATCTGCTGATTTCTTTGGGGCACTATCCGTATAAACTTTGTAAAGCATTAGTGATATTATCCAAGCTTCACCGTTAATTAGATGTTGGTTCTTGTTTCAATTTTAACAGAATTTATGTTACTCTGATAGGGGCTCTTTTCAAATTCATGTCTTATCCTTCTTAGTGCCTCAAACTAGATCCTGTGTAGATATGTTGTAATAAGTTAGTATGATTTTATTTTGGTGCAAAAACAAATACAAAATTCATGCATACTTTCATAATATGCATTGTTCATGAACTTTTTGAATATTCCTTACATATATGTGAAACTTACAGAACATTTATCAGGCAACAAAAGTACAAGGGATAAAAAGAAACTTTAAAACTTTATATCATCACTCTCTGGTTAAACATACCATAGAGCAGATGCTTGTAACTATACTGCCATGTAGTCTGAGTATTTATTTATTCTTTATTACAACAACCTACAAAAAATAATCATGACCCTTTAGAGTAAGGGAAGATCTTAACGAACATCCAATCCAGAATTTCTCAACTGCGGCACCAGAAGCATTTTGTCATGGAGGCTATCTTGTGCACTGCCCAATGTTTGGCAGCATCCCTGGCCCTCACTCACCAAATGCCAATAGCACTCTCTTCCCTAGTTGTGATAACTAAAAATATCTCCAGACACTGTCAAATGTCCCCACGTGAGAACCACACAGATTAAAACGATCAGGCTGAGAAGTTAGGGTGGAAAGAGTTAAGTTAAATAACCAAAAATAGGGATCAGCAGATGGCATAATGGTTACATTGCTGGATTTCTATGTAGGAAACTGCAGTCAAGCCCCAGACCTGGTGGCTTAAAACTCATGCTGGGTGCAGGTGTGTGCATACCTAAAATCCCAAGAGAAGAATGGAGGAGAAGGGATTGCAGAGTGGGCATCCTCCTAGGGGATGATTTCTCGTTTCCTGTCTTTCTGTCTGTCTCTCTCTAGTAAGCGCATGTGCCCTATAGCAAAAAAATACCTCAAAATAAATACATAAACAAACAAACATCGACCACTAACAGAAAAAGGCCATGGAAACATTTTTTTTTCCAAATGTCACTTTTAATAGTAAATATCTACTATATTTCAAGAACTAGAGTAAATAATTTTTACTGCTTCTACACACAATATATCATGCATTCTAGTCCTCAATGGCTATTAACCAAAAATCCATGTAATGTATATCTGAGTTGAACTTTTTATAATTATGTTAAGATGTACAGCCAAGCCAGATTTTTATAGGGACAACACTTGGAATTTTAAAAATGAGTAAAATGGGCACCATGAATGATGTAACTGATATAAATTTACTGCAGAATTAGTCACTGTATTAAGGTCCTAATATAAGGTGCAAAGCCTAGTGCACTGGCTCAGTAAATATCGGGTTGTCGGAAAAGTCATGGTGTACTTCTCTCTCTCTCTCTTTTAAACAATTATTTTATTTAACTTTATTTATTTTAATTTGACCAGAAATGGGGAGGGAGAGGAGGAAGCAAGCCGCCAGGTCCAGGACTCACACTGTGGTTGGCCATGTGGGAGTGAGTGCCCTTATCTACCATGCTACCTGCTAGCTCCCCCCCACTTTTCTAAAATAAGATTTACTTTAATTTTATTCATTGTCATTATTTTCATTTATTTATTTTTTTGAAATTGACTAGCGGGAGAGAAGGGAAACAAGAAAACAAGCTGCTGGGTACAGGACTCGAACCATGGTCAGCTACACGGGAGTCCAGCCACCCCAACCACCACATCACCTGCCAGCCCCAATGTTTCCAAAAATGCATCATGACTTTCCCGACGACTTAATATATGAACAAATTAAACATAAGTGCTAAGATCTGTACTTAGTATTTATAAAATTGCCTAAATTAAAAAAAAAAAAACACCTTTATACCCTCATTGCTTTCAGATTTATGATTCTCTCTGTCAAGGGTCATTCCTCCTGATATTTAACCTGCTGATATTTAGAAAGCATTACACAGGAAAAACCTCAGGTAAAAAGGCTTTCTATTTGAGGAAATATTTTAATTTTCAAAGGTGGCTACAATATTATCTCCCACTCCTACAGGCTCACCTACTAAGTTACCTTCACTATTTTCCCATCAAGAAAAGAAGGTAACTCGCAACCAACGGACTAAGTGGGAAGTGAGACTGGTTTCCTAGGACAGGCCAGAAAAGGTGACGAAGCTTTCTGCCTTGCGCACTGGAGTACTCACCCTTGGAACCTTCAGTCACCAAGTATGCTGTCCAATTTCCCCTGAGGCTGCCATACTGCAAGGAAGCTCAGACTAATTCATGTGGAAAGACCGGATGGAGAGGCGCTGAGACCACATGGAGAAAGAAGCCTGGCTACCTGAGTTGCTCTGCACACTTCCTCCCCTCTCACACGCTCCACAGTATACATGTTCTGGTGCCTGTCTGACTGCCACCACATGAAAGATCCTGAGCTGGAACCACCCAACTAAGCCTTCTACAAAAGAATCCCTGTCCCATAGAAACTGTGACACATGAGCAAAAGCTTGCTGTTTTAAGACACCAAGTTTGAGGTGATTTGTTACATAGCACAGACGACAGTAATAGATCCTAGTACTGGCAATGAGAGTTTGGCAGTGGCTTTAGTATTAGATGGTAGACAAAATATGGAAGGCTCCTAAGGACCAGAAAAAAATGTTAGGGGAAGCCTTCAAGGGCTTTGAAGAAGCTGTTGATGAAGGCTTACCGTGAAGAAAATATTGTTGGAAGCCAGAAAAAGAACAAAATTGTCACATGTGGTAACACAGAAGACATAAACTATCTAATAAACTCAATGATCTAGCCAAGATTTCTTGAAAGAAGACAAAGATTGTCTTTAAAAAATAACAATTTTTGTAGAATTTGGAGAAAATCTAAAATGCCAGCCAGAAATTCCTTAAGAAATGGTTTCTGAACATAGACCAAATCTAGGCAGAGCACGTAAGATTCTGTATTAACACCCTGGAAAGAATACTTCATGGAGCCTTTCAGCACACAAAACGCTCTCTCCACATCTTAAAGACATGCCACAGCAACTCTCTTGATTAAAAAACAGGATCTAAGACTCTAAGAAGCAAGGATCTAAGATCTAAGGGTGCTAGCCCATAGCAATGTCACAGGAGACCCAAGATAAGAGAAGGGCTTGTCTCAAATAAATGTGAGTATGCTGTTAGTCTAATAGGATGGACTGCTTTAAAGAGATACACCAGAAACTCACACAAGTTCTAAAACAATTATGTATCGTTTACATGTAAAGGGACAGAGACAGTACAAAAGGAAAAGAGGCCTCTGTCACCAAACCAGGCGCTACACACCAAATCCAGCCTTCCATCTGTGTAAATAAATAAAGTTTTATTGGAACTTAGTCATACTCATTCATTTATATATTGCCTATGGCTGCTCTCATTCTTTAATGGTAAAGCTGAGTAGCTGTAACAGAAACCATGTAGCCTGGAAAACCTAAATCACTTACTATATGGCCCTTTACAAGAAAAATCTGTCAACCTCAGCCCTGAACTTCTAACCTTTTATGGGCAGGAAGCAGGCTAAGAAGGCAACTCAGTTAAACACACAGGTCATTTTTATGGAAAAAAGATGACTCAGGGGGCAGAACCAAAAGCCTCAGAGAACTCCCAGAAAGCAGGACTAAGCTCTAACCAAGATAACCAACACGTACCTGACCAGAGCTGAGATCTCTGGTGGACCAACATTTGCTGTACGCCTTCCATTCTCTCCTTTTTTGAACAAGACTATCTAAAGCCATTATCCATGCTAGTCTAACCACTGTATGTTAGGTGTACAGGTAGCCTATATGGAGAAATCTTCACAGGACAAGAGAGACAGTGACACCTGGCCCATAGTCTCTTCACTACCTACCTCCCCCATTCCAGTTCTTTTGGTTCCGTATCAAAACCACATGAAAGGGACCAGCAGTTAACATAATGGCTATGTCGCTGGACTCCCATGTAGTCGACTGCGGTTCGAGTTCCAGGTCCAGAGGCTTAAACTCACGCTGGGCGCATGTGCCTGCGTGCCTAAAATCCCGAGAGGAGAATGGAGGAGAAGGGATTGTGGCATGGCCGCAATCACCCCCCTGGGGCGTGATTTCTTGCTTTCTGTCTCTCTGTCTTTCTGGAGAGCGCATGCATACTATAGCAAAAAAAAAAAAACACCTCAAAAACAAACAAACAAACAAACACATGAAAGATTCCAAGTCAAAACTGCCTAACTGATTCCTTCCCAAAATCCTGATCCTGAGAAAAATAATAAATTGAAAGGTACAGTAAAATGACTATTGCTGTTTTAAGCCACTAAATTTGAGACATTTGTAACAAATAAACATCTATTCTGAGTGAATAGCCAAAGTTTACGACAGGATTCATTTTCCTGAAGTTTATTAAGCCTGTTTTCTCTGTGTAAAATACTGGGGTACTCTGTGTTTTTGGATCCAGTTTTTACTTTTCTGCCCTAAATTGTAACATATTTATCAATATAAAGCATGCACTGCCATCATTCATAAATTAACACTTGCTTTTTAGCCATGAAAAAAATGCTGCCAATGATAAATGCATTTTTTGGATCATTCTAGAAAAACTTGAAAATATTTCTTTACCTGTTCTAAAGTTGTTCAATTCAATACCTCCCACACATCGCAATAGTTAACACAGAGTCAGAAACATCATGGACAAGTGAATCCCTACAGTAACTCAGATCCTGATACACTATAACTGGCAGATACCTCACTTTTACTTTTTGAGCAGTTGATGGAAGTTCTGGAATCAGCATCTTCTTTACACATAAATACTCAAATCCTGAACTCTCCAATCAAAGGCTCCACTGTAACGCCAATGTAGTTAAAAAAAATATAAGTATTTTTATAGTACATTTCACTATAATTGAGTGGTAAAGACAGGCGAGCTCTAAATCTGGGGTTTCAATTAAAAAAATGGAGACAGAAAGGCTATGACGACTATAAGGAAATAGAAAGTTTTTCATATTATTAACTTTTTCTTTTAACTATGCCATTCCCAACCTTAAAAATTAGTTAAAAACTGTAAATATCATATTATAAGCTGAATGGGCAGCTGAGGTGTTTCAAGTGATTAATTTTCTAGGAACATTCTATATTTTTCAAATGAAACTATATCATCTACTTAAAGCAAAATATTTTACCCTTAGTCCCCTATAAAAACTCACCCCTCAGTTTTTAAGGGAGAAAAACAAAGGGCTCAATTTCAGCTTATAATAACAATGACAACCGTGAAGTAGGACATTTCCTCCATAGGGATTTGGAGGACCAATGACTCAACAAAATGAGGTCCTTACTTAAGTCTCCCCAAATATTTCCAATTTCTAAGAAATGTCCTAGCGTCCCGATTGTGATTGTGATTAATCAGGTTAGTAATTCTAAGGTAAAGCTCATGCTAGCGACTTTTCGTCTCTCCAGCAAGCTTCCACCACCTTACCAATACATAGCGTATATTACTGCTATTCTTCTTACCACGGTTTCTGACCTGTCAACCTGAGTGCAAGATCGAGCAATAATGCAGGTACTGTATGTGTGACACCCTTCCAATAATGAAGCAATAGGTTGTTGGAATACAACTTAATATTGGGGCGCCTGACCACTTGGTTTAAAGGATTCATCTTGAAGGAATGATTTAGATAATATCCTGCAGGAAAAATAAGCGTCAAAGCATTTTGAATAGTGTTATTCAGAAATAAACCTACAATTAGACCTAGAATTCAACACATGACAGTAATTTGTTATTGAAACTTTAGAACAAATTAGAGCGACTTACAACACTACCTTTGCATTTCTGACAAAGTCTTATATTCAAGAGTCTTCTCATTCACAAAAGGCCATTAAGCCTTATCATAAGCATAAACAAATACAGAGTTAATATGCATTTTAGTGTAAGCATGGGTTGTTTAACAGTCAGAGGAACAGATAAGACAGAGCTAGTCACCATTACCTTGGGCTTCTTCCAGTCATCCTGAGGTAGATATCATACAGGAATGCTGGGGCCTTATGGCTTACAGCAATCCAGTAATGATATAAAAGGTGATTGGAGGTTAGATTTACATTGGGCCGTCTGAAGGCCTGTTCGAGAGGATTCCTCTTGAAAGTGGAAATTACATGGTATTCTGAGGAAGAAAAGTTGTGTAACAGCTTTGATAATAACCATGTAATGAAGTTTGGAAAAAAATAATCATGTTTTCACAATGCAAAATAGTTTACTAAATAAGTCAGAGTCTGTTCATTTAAAAAGCATACTTTTCTACTCTCTATAGTAGCTAAGAAAATATAAGTAGTAGACTGCTGAACTCAAGTGGTTTAAAAACTGCCACTATTTATGAATTTTAATTAATTGAGTGAATTTTTGCTAAAATTCACTCTTAAAATCCTTTTAATGTTTTACTTATGTCAGTTTACAATGTCACTTTCTATATTTCACCTCTCACGATAGCTTCTTTCTTTCTGTTCCTCTTTCCAGATTCTTATTACTGTACTTACTTAAAAAAGAAAAGGAAAATCATCATCCTTTGCTTATGAATAATTAAGCTGCTTCATGAACATACATCAACAAGCTGAAAACAACCCAAAATTAACTTCTGCCATAATTTAGGTTAAGCAATGTCAACACAATCAAACCTAGCATAGCCTATGTTAATAATCTAATGGGAATATATATTGAGATATTCACTAAAGAATGATGCTCAACTTGATTTTTCACTAAACTTTGCAATACCATGGAAGATTATGAAAAATATAACTCATGTAAAGTGTTTAGATATTTTTAAAAAACACTACCTATAATGATTATCATAAAATTGAAATAACTTTAAGTTTCTTTCCTTTATCTTTTCTTATGTGCCCTAATGGTCAATCTTTAAATTAAATAAAAATACCATTACCAAAAAACCTAACCTTAGGACAAATATCATGAAAATTAAAACTGTTCTGCAGGGATTAAGAAAAATTTTTAGCAGGAGGTAAAATAAAACCTATTACTAAATCAAAAATATAAATTTATTTGAAATCTGAAATCATCAACCAACAATTTTAAAATGATTCAACTTCAATAGGCTTTAAGTTATAGTACTCTTATTTTAGAACTAATAATATATTATTACATTACTACCTGTGACTGAGAATTTAAATAGATTAATAAAGGTTAACAGAAAATATTCAGGCAAAATATATCTTAAGTCTTCATTTATTACTCTGGGCTCACTAGATATATCAACTCTTGTAGCTAGAAGTGATACTGCCTACGGCAAGGAGCATTTAGACTGAATGCTCATAGGGCCTCATGCCACAGGTATCTATGAGGGCTGCTGCTGCGGACAGCACAAAAACAGCAAAGGTCACACCAGGTGGGATGGGGGGATTTAGACCAAAAAACGTTTAATTTGAGAAACGTTAAGAACCACAAGGCAATATTGGTAGATACCACTTCTAAGATGGTAATTAAAATAACAAATTGGTAACTAAGTGGCCTTAATGCCTCATGGGTTCCTAATGTCAAACACTCAGTGAAAATTTTAAGATCTTTAATATCGATTCTAACATTCAAAAACACAGGTAAAATCATACCAACTTCACCCCAGTGGAAAGGATTAGTGCTGCCTGTTGTGCAATTATATATCATGATGTTTCTTGGTCTGCAAAGAGAAGGACAGAAGCAATGAGACATAAACAAGGCTAAACTTGCCCACTCTAATCTTACACTCAAGTAGGAGGACAAGGGTGATGGGTACATCTCTATACTAGTTATTTTAAAATAACCCCTAAAGTGTCCATTTTTAAGTCTCTAGGACTGTAACTACCCCATTCTCTCTCACCTACCAAGATTATGCATTTAGAAAAATCGATATTTTTTTTTCACATTTTTCTTCCTTGTATTGGGGGTCTTCAAAAAGTTAATGAACAATAAGCATAATGAAAAGAACTATGTATGGATTTCAAATTTTGAGCACCAAAATAGACTTATACTTTGAATCCATTTTTCTATAAACTTTCTGGAGCCTTCTCATATCAGGAGGAGTATTTGTTTTTAAACCTAAAGGGGAAAAAAACCAAATAATCTTAGCTCCTCCTATCAATTTTCAGAGGCTCTAGTTAAAAAATTCCCCTTTTTCCAGAAACAATATATTTATATAATCATACCCCTTCTTTTTCAGAACATAAAAGACTGACTTACAAAATAAAATAAGGAAGAGGCCAGCACTGAGGCTCAGTGCTTAACCAGAGTGCATCAGGAGGCAGATCCCCATGGACAACTTCTTGCGTTAGAAAAAATATTAGAAAAAATACTGAGCTTATAAAGTTTAGCTGTTACCTATAAATGCTACTATTATCTTTTCAAACATGGCTGCGGAAGGGTTGATTAAAGTTGCTTTAGTGTGCCATGTTTATATATGTAAACCATTTTCTGTATGCCAAGTTTTACCAAATTTCATTCTTGGGGACCAGCTGGTGGTATGGTGGTTGAGGTGGCTAGAATCCAAATGGCTGACTGAATAATTCAAGTCTGAGGCCCAGTTGCTTAAAAAAAAACCAGGCACATTTATATGCATGCCCAAAATGCTAAGAGGAGAACAGAGAAGGGAATATGGAGTGGTTGTCTCTTTAAGGTGGTGATTTCTCACTCCTCTTCCACACCCTCTGTCTGCCTCTCTCTGGGGAGCACATGTTCCCTACAGGAAATTAAAAATAATAATAATAATAATAATAATTCTCTGGAAGGGCATTTTTTTCCCATTTTTAATCTCTAATAAACTTGTTCATCTTGTAAGTAGTTCATGCATATTAGCACTGATTCTTCATTAATTAATGCTAATTTCTGGTTCCGACATATGTACTGTTCAGACCACTTGTTACTTTCTAAAATATACCAACTCTTACAGTTGACAGTGATATTACACATATATTGGTATAACAATTTTAGGACTAGGGATTGATTAATAGTAGTCAGTAGCTCTGTTTCTCAGTTACTATACATTTAAAAAGCAACATTGTCACCTCATATACCTATTAACTCCGGAATACCAGGCTGCCGCAAGACTGGTGTTGACAACTACATCTACAGGAACAAGATCTGCAAGGGCATTGTTGGAGGCACGCATTGTTCGAAGAATTCCTTTCCCTGCCTTTGTTGAAATTAAAAACAACACCTTAAGATATACAAGCCAAAGTGCGTATATGCACACACACACACGTTACATATACATAAAGAAAACAGAAAAAAATGTACAGAATACTAAGTCATAACATTACTTACCGCAATAAAGAGACCACTTGGTCCATTGAAGTTATCAATCCATCCCTAATACCAAAATTCAAAACAGGGGAGAACTTAGAAATTTTATGAAACTAGAGATGGAATACTTGAAATCTACAATTCCAAATATAATCTTGATAGTTTCCTTCTAAAAACTAAAAAAAGATTAGATTCGAGCCAGAATATTTCTCCCAGTACCAAGTAGAAGCAGTCTTCTGAGATCACAAATGACTAAAAGCATTTTCAAGGGGTTATATACTCTTTCATGAATTCACTGCAAAGAGAATATTTATAAAAAGATTTAGCAAGGTATTTTTTGCTAAATCAAGACTGTTGGAAGTTTGACTTTATGCTATTTACTGATAAGACATTCTGAGATTAGGAGGAAATGGTAAATCCTCTTTAACACCTTGTTTATTTTCCCCAGCAAGTTATCATAGTAATCTCTTATACCTCTCTTAGTGTTGTAACCTACACAGAGAGAGGTTTTCCTCTTAGAGGGGTTGCCCCTTTTTAGCACCAAAAAGGAAAATCAAATCACGGTCTCCTTTGATTCAAGACAATGTCAGAGCTTTTGTTTTAATTTTCAATTAGAATTTTGAAAATGTTGATCTGCCTTTTTATATACCCAGCATATCACATTAGAAATAAAAGTACCAATAAAACTCACTCTCTTTATGAATGGAAGAAAGTTTTGCTTTTGCCATGGTAAGTCATGTTCAGTAAATAGTACTTCATCTTAAACAACTGCTCTTTTCATACACAGTTATGACCTAAAATTCTTGATTCCAGTTATTTATAAGGACTTCTAACAACTTACTGGAAAAGGTTCTTTCCAACTGGCACCAACAATTGACGGTCTTACAATTGCCACATTTAGCTTTGCGCCTTCTTGTTGAACGACATACTCCGCCAATGCTTTTGTGTATATGTAGGTATTAGGCCTGTCTCCTATCAACTTGGGTGTGATATCATTTACTAGGCCATCATCCATCCACCTAGTGAACAAAAAAAATTGCATACAAAAATACTTCTAAGATGTTTCACTGTAAAATGAAAACTACTTAACTCAACGTTGCATATCAAACATACCTGTTCTCTGATTCAAATGATTTTATTTGTACAAAAAAGAGTAAAAAAGGAAAGAAAAATGGAAATAATCTTATTAAATATCACCTATAGGTCCACAATTCCTTATCTGCAATTTTTATATCCAAACAGTGTGAAGACTGAAAGTTCTTTCATGAAACATATGGTAGATAGCTCTTCCACAAATCATACAGTAGATCATAAGATTTGTGGCCTTTTTTTCTTTGATTTTTGCCAGTGGGCACGTACACTTGCCAGAAACAGAAGACGGTGAGAAAGTACTCCCCATGGGGAATGGTGACGGTACAATCCCATTTCTCCCATCTTTTGGAATTTTGAGCATGGATGCACATGAGCCTGGCTTATTTCTCAAGTGGTGGGGTCTGGGACTAGAACTATGCAGTCAACTATAAAGGAACCAACTGGGGATCCAACCACTTTAGCCCACATGTCCCAGGCTGGCCCTGTGGTTTTTTTTCAGTACCACTTAGTTCAAATATTCATATACTTCATATGTGTTTGATCAGAGATCAAACCAAGATCAAGTTTAAGTTATTTCATATAACCAGTATTTTTTTAAAATACTTTTTAAAGAATTATTTTATGTAACTTTATATATTTATTTATTTTAATTTGACCAGAGAGGGACAGAGCAAGAGCATGAGCAAGTGAGAGAGAGAGAAAGTAGGAAAGCAAGCTGCAAGGTCCGGGACTCAAACTGCAGTCGGCCATGTGGGAGTCTGGCACCCCCAACCACCATGACACCTGCCGGCCCTATATTGCCAGCATTATTAAATTCCCAAATATGACTGCCCCCAAAGGTTTAGATTAGGAGTTATGAATCGTATACAACCACCTAATAGCATAACTGTTAATTGCATACACGTACAATTAACATACAACTAATGCAAAAGATCTAGTAATCTAAATATTTAAGGCGAAGTAACACAAACCATATACTCTCACTACTGGGACTAACAAACACTAGGATAAACAATAAATTGAACCATGATATAAAAATTTACTTAGCAACCTACTATGAAGTCATAAAATTCCTCCAATTCTCTCAGAGTTTCCGAAATAATGGTCTATTCTGATTATTCTGAAAACGGAGGGTAATACACTTGAGGTGATATATACATACATATGTATACACACACACACTTGATTTAGGATACTTTTTCCTTCTTATGTATAATACTATGCATATAAATAGACTGAGTATTTTGTCACACTCTAAATGATAACCATACCAACTGATAAGGCAACATAAAATGAAACCTCAAGATAAATTTTGTTCTGCATATATCCATTTCTTCTTTCAAGTGATTAAAGGAACATGGTATTAATTAAATTGAAGGAAAACTATTCGATTTAGGAAAAATTCCATTGTGGAGAGGAGTTTTGAAAGATGGAAAGGATAGTTAATATAAAGACCTAAAAAATAAAGACACAAAAAAGTCTACCTAAACTGAGGAGAGACTTTAGCCAATAAACCTTATTACAGAAGTGATCTTATAGAGCATGAATTATCCTAAAATTATTTGTGAACTAGATTTCTTTAAATGCGAGGAAAAGAGACAGAATTAGATAGATGTTTGCATTTATCACTGCTAATAAGAGAAAAAGTACAATGCCTCATTAACTTGGACACTCATCTTTTTTCCAGAAATATCAAGTTATTCTGGTTAATGACCTGTGACAAAAATGAAATTAAGAAACTGAGTCATGGTAACAACACCTGGAGTGGTGGTTAAGGTGCTGGACTCCCACATGACTGACTGTGGTTAGAGTCCAGACCCAGTGGGTTGAAACAAACTTGAGTGCATGTGCATGTGTGCCTAGAATCCCAAGAGGAAAATGGAGAAGAAGGGACTGCAGTACAGTCATCACTCCTTGGGGGTTATTTCTAACTTTTTCTCTGGTGAGCACACATGTGCCCTACAGCTAAAATTTCCTTAAAAAAAGAAAGAAAGAAAGAAAGAAAGAAAGAAAGAAAGAAAGAAAGAAAGAAAGAAAGAAAAGAAAAGAAAAGAAAGAAAAGAAAGAAAAGAAAGAAAGAAAGAAAAAGAAAGAAAGAAAGAAAGAAAGAAAGAAAGAAAGAAGCTGACTCAGAAAACAGAAACCAGGGAACTGCCATGAGAATGTCTTGGTAACTCCCATAGTTATTAATTTTCTTACACTCCGTTTCCCCTTGATTAGCAAGAAAGTCTTAAAGAAAAGGTCTTGTGTGATTATTTGGGGAGAAAGCAGAGAATGGTAACTTTGGATAGCATTGTTAGAAAGAAAAGATGAAAAAGAGAAGAATTAACAGAAGAAAAGCTCACAGAGGTATTACATGAGGATTAACAAATATATAAAGATGTGATAGATACTGGAATATTTATTTTATTTTATTTTTGGAGAGGTTTTTGCCATAGGGAGCGTGTGCTCACCAGAAAGACAGAGAAAGAAAGAAAGCGAGCAATCAGCCCCTGGGGGGATGGCCACACTGCGATCCCTTCTCCTCCATTCTCTTCTTAAGATCTTGGGCACACACGCACACATGCCCGGCGTGAGTTTAAGCCATTGGATCCAGGACTCCAACCATGGTCGACTACATGGGAGCCCAACAACACAACCATTATGCCAACTGCTGGTCCAGATAATGGAATATTTCTATAACTATACTCTATGAAACAAAGACCCTCTTTTTCTTTCTTTCTGTTCTGATTCTGTTTCTCATTTGATGAGAAAGCATGGGCTGAAGCAAATGAGACCCGGGCCATGGTATATGCACACTTTACTTAATCCCCACCCATCAAATACTCAGGAATATTTTTCATGTAATAATACCTGATAGGATCCCAGTCCTCAGAAAGATAATAAAAAGAGATATAAATTAAAGAATAATGACCTTCTGGTTCTCTAATAATTAAAGGCCCTTCTACAGAAATACTCTATGGCCAAAATAAATAAATAAATAAAAGGGGGGAGGAGTGTGATCCTTTAATAAATTAGAAGCTTGCTATTTAACAGGCAGTCACTGATCTTCACAGGTACCTCTCTTGGTTGCAAGGACTGATTCTCTGGAAAACAAAACCCCCTAATATGGAAGAATTGTTCAGAGACCTTCCTCCAATCAATATATCTAAATCAAAAGTAAAAGCCTACACTGCCTTCATCAATATTCACTTAGCTATAAATCTACACAATAGAAGAACTTAGCAGACATGACATAATTTGTTGAATAAAGAAATAAATGTATGCATATCTGTGCATGAGATGTGTGTAGAGAAGAACCAAGGGACAGAGGGAGAAAGAGAAGTAAATGTGGATCCAAAGTTTTGAGATCAAATCACATGTATATACATTTCACACAAACATACTCTAAAGAATCAATCAGCTTCTTGGGATCCACGGGGGGCGGGTAGACTACTTCGTCAATGTGCTTTCGATTGCAGTAGGCATATGCTGTTGATACATGCATGAACACTTCCAGACTCTTCATTTGCTGTGCAAGGAGAATGAGCTGTCTAGTAGCAATCACATTTAACTGAACAGCATCTCTGTAAAAGAAAAAGCAACATTTAAAAACTGGAAAACTATACTGTTTATTCTATCTATTAAAAAAATTATCTTCATTAGAGACAGAATACATATACAAATTTTTATTTCTATACAACTTATCCTTTAACTCTGATTTTATGTATTTCATTGCAGCATAAAATATATACATGTATTTACTTAAAAAATAAAAATAGCTTTAGGTACTTCCCAAATTCTGTTTTTCAGTATTTAAGAAGAAAAAAAAAAAAACCAAAAAACAACTATTTTTCAAAAGGCCAGGATACGCCACAAGTAGAATCTTGATCCACTTGACTGCAAGGCACTGCTTTGATGTCTATCACATTCGCAAAACAATGGGGATGGGAGGGTACTGTTTTAGAAGAGGTATCCAGAGAATATTTGGTTACAGGTTCCTGAGGACAGGACAAGTTCTAGGTCACCAGAAACAAGGAATAACTCATGGAAGAAAAAAATGCCTGGGCCTTGTTTTTTAGTTTATTTCCATAGGATCTGAGATCCTATGAAAATATACTAGAAGAAAGTTTTTTTTAATGAAATAATTGGGTTGGGGTCTCACAATCATGTAATCATATTTTTTTTTCCTTCTGGGTGAAACATTTGTTCAAATGGAAATCCACCAAGAAAGCCATTTCACAGAGAGGACACTGTCCACTAGACTATAAGGGAATGTGCTATTTTCTTTTGCATTTGCAAAACAATGGGGGTAGAGACAGTAATGTTTTGGGAAGAGCACACAAAGGATATTCTGTTACTAGTTCCTGAGCATGGTAACAGAGTTTCTGGGTCACTGAAAATAAGGAATAATTTGAGAGGAACACTCCTGGTTGCCTTGCCACGCCCCTCCCCTCCATTTGTACCTGACAGCCCGAACCTGAAGCCATTCTGTGCTCACGTAATACCTACCATCTCTGACAGGCTAATTAAACCTTTCTCTATTTTACCTCAATTCAATATTTACACCATTCAACGTCAGGCTGAGATCCTGGCATGTTAAATAAGGCATTTAGTACTAAATAAATCCAATATTCTCATTATATTGTGATTATATGGAATCATGAATACATCTTAAATAAGATAAGCTTTTGGGGGACGGTTACAAAATGAGCAAATTGTTCTTATTAAAGGCATAAAAATAATTTCTATAAAAATAATAAAAGAAAAAAGAAAGGAAAGGAAACTTGACTGGAACTGCCAATAAATTTTTAGTTTTCATCTGTCATGTACAGATATCCTAGGTTCTTCAAAATCTATGTTGATAACATTTCCAAAGGCCTTACCAGCACTCTCACACTTGACCTAACACATACCTGAGAGTTTACTGAAAATATAGACTCCTGGACCACATACTCAGACACTTAATGTCTGAAACGAGGCCTGTGAAATTACATTTTAAGTAAGTTCCTCAGGCCATTTTTAAAAACATGACAGAGAGCAAGTGATCTCATTCCCTAGCCCTCCCCAGTGGCTGGACGGCCCAGCCCATTTGACACAAGTCTATGTTTTTATTTAAAAGTTCTTGCCACAGGGTACATGCACTCACAGGAGAGAGACAGAGACGGTGAGAAGGAAAGCGAGAAATCACCCCACAGCGGGTAGCATGCTACAGTCTCTTCTGTTTTCCTCCTGGGATTTTGGGCCAGAGTGTGTGTGCCTGGAGTGATTTTCAAGCCGCCAGGTCCAGGACTAGAACTGGTGGTGAGCCATATGGGTGTCCAGTATCTTAACCACTATGCCATCTACTGGCCCCAACACACAAGACTTTTTCACTTTGCTCACTCCTGAGAAAATACTGCTTAGATGTGATACAATTATTGCAGCTATGTATTTTTTTTTTTAAGCTTAATGAAGACACAGACACAAACAAGTGTTTAGGGACCAACAAAACCATCTTAGGGTAGAGGATCCAGGCATCTGTCATTTTAAAAATGTCTCTTGGGACCAGCACCCATGCAGCCGACCCCAGTTCAAGTGCTGGACCTGGAGGCTTAAAACTCACACCAGGTACATATGCACGCGTGCCCAAAATCCCAAGAGGAGAATGGAGAAGGGATTGTAGTGTAACCATCCCCCCCACTGTGAGGGTAATTTCTTTCTGTCTCTCTGGTAAGTGTACTCACTCTATAGCAAAAATCTGTCTCTCAAAAAAAAAAAAAAAAAAATCTCCAAAGCTAAATCTGATTAGCAGCAGTTTTTAAAGGGCAATAGTGGTCCAACAGTAACTATCATACCCAACACACTCTTGCTAAAAACGTGGATTCTGAGGTATTACTGCAAAACTAAAAGGCCAGATTTTGTCAAGTGCAATCCAGGAATCTGTATTTTTAACATACTTTCCAGTAATTCTTAAGATTCATAATTCATTCCAAAGTTTGATAATCAATACCCTTAGATTCAACAGTTTCTTGATCTTTTCCAATAATCAATCTTCTATTCCTTTCTGAAAACCTACTTTCATATTCATACTTTGGCCCTTAACATCAAGAATTGTTTTGTTTCTCAAATATCATACTCTTCCCTAAACCATCAGTCCATCCATCTCTCCCCTTAGGTCTGTTTTTTGGCATCTTTATGATCTCCATTTTCTTGGCTGTTTCCTCTCAACTCTACTGGCCCTTCTCTTACTGCTAAGGACTACCAGAAACCAGCATCAAACTACTTAAGTAACTCCCTTCATTACTGTCAATAGCACTTCTTCCCTCAACATTTTTTTAAAGGCACACTTACCTTGTCACTATCCTCTCCTGCTTCAACCTACCAGCTAGGGATATAGGTGTGTACTACTCGCCTGTCTGTATTTTAAAAAGGGTCTTGCTATGTTTCCCAGGCCAACCTCAACTTCACGATCTTCCTGTCTCAGCCCCCTGAGAATCTGGGAGAAGAGATGCATATCAGTGTACCCAGCTTTTAGGCTGGACCCTGAAATGAACCCAGGACTTTCACGTGGTCCCAGCTGTGGAACACAGCACATCTCAGCAGCACACAGCACGTGGCTGGGCTTCCCTTCAGCTTCTATCAGTATTTCCTCATAATTCCTAATCATGATATCTACCTTTTCCCCATCTTAAGATTTAGAAACCACCACATCTCAAACTAGATGAGCTCTACTTCCTCTCAACCCTTACTTAATGTAACTCTAGTAACTCCCATTTTCTATGCTACATTATGGATATTGAAGCATATCCTATTATCTTTTCTATTACACTATATGGACTTTGCAAACAGTATCTATGTACAATTTATTTGGTTTTCCCCCAAGAATTGGCATGATATATTAAAATGTGGGTATTTTCCCCCTGGCAATCAAGATTTTTTTTGTCATTTTTAATTTGTGGGTTAACGTAAAAAGCAGTTAAAAAGAGTAAACGTGGTGCAAGCAGTTCTATGCCAACCTGCAGTATGTCAGGACGTCATCTAATGAATGTCCTATCACCACTTAGATGTCAACATTCATTAAAATGACTTCATGAAGGGACTGGATGGTGGCACGGGGTAAAAATAACACTTTGCAAGGCTCATCCACAGGTTAAGGTTCCAGTCTCATGTCTAGAGACCTTCTACAACATACTAGGCACATGCCCACGATCAGGGGTTGGCTGAAGCTGGGGCTGACTGTGGTGTCAAGACCTTGTTGGGGTGCGGTCTATCTGTCTGTCTGTCTCTCTCACTGATGGGAGAAATCAGCTTAAAGAAAATGGCTTCACAGAACCCTAATTTCAAGGAAATGACCACAAGTAGTTCAGTCAACATAAACACCTTGAGCAGGAAGAAAAGAACAAAACAGTATTGATTCCTTCCACTATGGTATCTCTAGTAGAAGAATAACAACAAAAATATTTCCTTTTCATTAATGGTAGCCTTGCTTATCTCAAAGGGAACAGAAAAGGAGAGATGGTTTCCTTAGAGTACTGTACTTGGAACTCCTCGCAAAGGCCATTTTGACGAGTCTCACTCATTAATACCTAGTCACAAATCAATTTCGCACTTACAAGCATCTTATTTCTTTTGGTTACAAAGAAAATAATGACAGTAACTTCTGTGGGAATATTTCTCAGATTAACCATTTTATACTAATAAATTTTTAGGGAAGTTAAAGCCATAGCCTAAATTATGGCCCACATTCATAAACTCAGAAATTGGACTTAAAAAAAAAAAGTGCCAAAGTGTCTGGAACAAACGGATTTAAAGTATAACTTTATTTTGATGCAAAAGATTTTTGAAATCTATACATAGTTTTTCCATAATATGTATTTTCCACAATCTTTTCTTTTTTGTGGGATGCAAAAGATTTTTGAAATCTATACATAGTTTTTCCATAATATGTATTTTCCACAATCTTTTCTTTTTTGGGGGTAACATTTATTTATTTATTTATTTATTTATTTATTTATTTATTTATATTTTTCTG